CTCTGTTTTCATTCCATTCCATATGAAGAGACCAGTGACAACTCTGCATCTTGTACACTAATGTACAAGTTAAGAAATATATGCTAACATGTCAAGTTTTTTACTACAGTGGCCACCTTTTGCATAGCTCAGCTTAGTAAGGCGAGAAAAGCTAACCCGGATCATTATAGCATCCACAGACCAGCAGAGGACACATATAAGAACAACTACAAAAAAGCTATGGCTGGTTGGGAAAGCCTCAGGAATCTAGAAAAAAAAATCTGTGAGCAACTGAAGCAGGAAGAAGGGCCAGAAAACCCATAGACCAGCATCTGAGCTGACTGAGTTTGGATAAGCCTTGGGAGGGAAGAGAAAACGGCTAGGTTCTGAGGCGAACATAAGGAGGAACACTTGGGTGGGGGCTGGTTTATACCCAGGGCACATCAGATTTGTGTGTCAATTTCAACATTGCTAACATTAAACGATTGACTTGTATCCAGGCTAGGTTATACGGGAGTAGATAAAGCCATTAATCATGCTTTGTGATATCTTCAAATTCCTCCAAGCAATGTCTAAATGCTCTATGCAAAGGTGTGGGTGATTCACCTGTGGGTGCTTACTCCTCTAGCACTTTTTGCCAAGAGAAATGTTGTTAAACACAATGAGGTCAGACTGCAGCTGAATTAATTACACTGGACGTCTCCTTATCCACCCTGCACTTTCCATTGCCAAATTTCTGCACTATTCTTCAGTTACCTTCTGTTCTAAATTGATAAGTAGTGCTGTTCAGTGCTGTTACATAGCTACTACATTCAACCCCAGGAGTGGCACAGTCCCTAACTACCTTGTGGAGTGTTCAATTAGTTCATGTTAATACATGTTCTACGATCTTGTGTGGAAAGGTGCAAATTGTTAGAAAGAGTATACACATATCTTCAATGTACTTTCAGCATAGTTTTATTTAAAGACAATTTTCATATACTTTATTTTCGCAGGTGACAAATTATAAAAAAAAATCAATCAGTAGAAGAGGCAATTAGTGATGACAGAGCAAACAGAACATATTTAAAGCTGGCCTAGAAATGTTACTTTTTTCATTTACAATATTTTTAAGAGCTAGATGCTGAGCTGGTACAAAACAGTGCCGCTCTGGCAAAGTCAGTGGAACTACATCAATTAACACCAGCTAAGTAGCTAGCCCTAGATGTTAATGTATTTGTAATAAAGCTGCAACACAAGTCTGCCTGATGTCGTACAGATTTTATATGATGAACAGCACCGTTTCCCCCAACTGAAAGTTACTATCTTATTTTCTTTTAATAAATTATTCAAGATAACTTGCCTCATCCACCATCACTATGCACACCAAACTATTCATGCATTGTAAGAGATGCTTCTGGGAGAGTAGAAAGTGGAGTGTACTCCTGAGAAGTATTCTGTTACATGTCTTTATTCAAGAAATATTAAGGGTAAGAGCCTGGATTTCTTGGTCTCAGACATGTAGAATAATATGAGGGAGTCCTTCCTACAGATCATGCTAATACCAATGGACTACCTGGAGCTGCAGGTACTATATTTCAGTAAGAAGTATTAACAGAACTAAAATATATCTGCTCTAATACTTCACAGTGTATTATATATCAGTGGAGATGTATCTGTGTCTCCCGTCTACTCAAGCATATCATCTCACATGTTTTTAGGATGAGTCACTGAGCTTTGCTATTCTGTCATCCTAAGGACACTAAAAGTGAGAATTTTGCTTAGTCAATGGACAATTGTGCTGAGCACCCATTTTTGCTCGTATTTAAAAAAAATAAAAGTAACACTTAAAAAGGTAAAGTACATTTTTCCAAGAGAGGTGTATCAAGAGAAACCTCTGCATGCAAGACGCACTCTCAGTGAACACAATGCAGGTCACCTTCAAAGCCGATATAGATGCAGACTTGTTTGTTAGACTAAAATGTATGATCATCTAAGAACTCCTAGCAAGGATTGAGGCCCCATTATGCTAGGTACTGCATAGACATGAAAAGCAGAAAACAATTTCTTCTCTTGCTTTATAATGACTTGTTATAATTATTACTTCTTGTATTTTTTTTCCAAAACCTAAGGGAAGATGGGATTGTTGTTTCCCAAATGTGTAGTAGCCATTATTTGTTCTCTCTGAAACGAGACAGTAATTGTCAAAGAAACATAGATGAAATGACCATTCTGTGGCTGCCTTGTTTTTGCATGCAGAGTTGTAGCCACCTCTACAGCAGAAAAGCTTGAAATAAAAGCCTGCTGAAATCAATGGGCTATCATTGACTCTATTTGGCTTTAGGTCAGACACTACGGCCATGTCTATGCACCATGGAAGACTGATGCTGCTGCGATCAATCTTCTGGAGTTGGATTTAGGAGGTCTAGATAAGAGTCACTAAAGTGAACTCAAAGGGCAGCCAGTACTCCTGCTCCTGCAAGGAGTCAGGGAAGCTGACTGATGCATTTGGCCTCCCACTGTGGGGATGATAGGAAAACTCAAATCAAGGTACATTGATCCCAGTTACGTAATTAACATAGCTGGAGTTGTATATCTTGATTCGATCTTCCCTATAGTATAGATCTGGCCTAACTGAACTAAATGGAACAGAGAACAACAGAACATCAGAAGCCTGCACCGAAGGCAAGATACAAGTTTAGGTGAGGTAGCTTATCAGCACTCCTGCTTTAGAGAGACTTCTGCTTGTCCAAGCGATTTACTGAAATGCAGGCAGATGTGCAGAATAGCAGGTAAGTGTGATTGGTTTTAACAAGGTACATGAGTTGAAAACAATTATTAGTCATCCACTCATTGCTCTCCCTAATCCAGGTTTAAATAGATCAGGTCATTCTTCTGACCAACATGAGAATTCAGGAGTGGGTGGGAAGGGACTCATGAGATAAACTAACCTGCAGAGTGTTGTTTTTCTTTTTTTAAAATGTGACATCAGTTCTACCAGTTCTAAAGGCAGAAGTCTCTCTTTAGCCATAAAATAATATACCATGGATAGTTGCACTGCAGCCTTCTTCAAATACCCCCACCCATATGCCCAGAGGTGAAAGTAAGGGGAGGGAGTATGCAGCTCCAGCAAGAACTAGCAGAGCTGCAGCAAGAGCCAGCAGGGAGCTCTTTAAAGAGTTGGCTGGGACCCTGGGTTGTGATAAGACAGTACCTGTAAGAAATGTAAGTTCCTTTCACCCCTGCGTATGCCTTATCTGACCGGAGGAGCCATTTCTAAAAGTGACAGACTAGCAGAAGCTCAAACTGGCACTTTAAGCAACTAGAGATTTCCCGATGCATCTTGGAGCAAGAAGCAGGCACTGAGTAGAGCACTGATTAAAAGTAGTACTGTCCAGGGGACAGGCACTTGGATATTTGATTACTTTCTATGCGATACTCAAAGTACATTCACTTGCAAAAAAAAAAAAAAAAAAAAAAAAGCCCAGCGCTCTTGTCCAATGTGTTTTAACATTAACATTTGGTAGATGAGCCTGGTCTGTTCAATGTGTCTACAGAGATTTCACTCTATTTAATAAAATCCCTCAACAAGATCTAAAGCTTGTAATAATGCTCAGTGTGTAACATGTTAAAACCACATTAAATAGATCTGATGACATTTTCCAGTATCATGGCTCTTTAAGCAAAAGCCAACTCCAGTAATGATTGTTTTGTTTCTGGCAAGGATTTGTGAACTTGTTACAATGTCCAAAACAAATAAACAACAAAGGAGCCCTGCCAGGTCTAAAAGGCAGGGAGCTGATCAAATCACTCAGCTTTGCTAAGAATCCAACCCAGCAGACTGAGATACGGGCAAACCTGTCTGTAACTGCACTTGCAGGCACCATGTTTGCACCCACAAATGAACCAGTTTGGGAATAGCAAAACTAAAAGTCTAGCTTGTGTGTGCAAATGCAGAGGGTTGCTCTGTAAATGCCTGGTTGTATAAATACACCTGCCCTCAGAAGTGACCAATTCCTGTCAGGGCAGGAGGCAAGAAAGGGGGGCAGCACGAGAGCATTCAGCTTCAGCAATTAAAATCTAGGGGGGCATGTGACTGCTAATACTTCCCGCCCCCTCCCCCGGCATCATCTCTGCTTGAAATAGTTAGCTTCAAGGATAAGTTCTCCTGTCTGTGCAATGGAGGTCTCCTGATTTTTTGTGGACCTCCGTGCCCAACATAAGTTATCCGTCTGCAGTGTAAATCCCTGAAATAGCATTCACCCAAATATTGTCTTCACCTGTGAGGCTGATTTAAGTGAGAGGTGACAATTCAATTTGGGATCCCACGCTAAACTGAGCACTCTTTAATTACTCTCTCGTAAACTGTTTTGGGCAGGAAGCGTCTCAGCCTATGAACGTGAAATGCTGTAACATATCCAATTGATTTTCATTAAGAATAACCCTGAATTTACACATGCTATATAGCGGTGACTAAATGAAGCACATTTATGTTAGAGCTGGTAAAACCAAGGCCAGACCAAGTAATCCAAAGATCTGTTCCATGATGGATTATCTGAAACATGTTTTCCAAAAATGTTACATGATCGTTGGCCTTTTTGTGCAATGAAACTCCTGTTACAAATCTCCAGCCAAGAAATGCTCCCTGTCCTCAAGAGGAGTTGAGGGAAATGAAGTGATGGGCCTAATCATAATAATACTTAGCCTTACTTGGAGTTTACATCTTCCAAATGCTCTAGAATTCTCACCTCACTGATTCTCCCAGCACCCCGGGAGGTAGGTAAGTTCCATGCTATTGAAGGTCTGACTAAGTCACACTAGATTTTCTAAGATCTCTACCAGTTAGGCTAACGTAGGTGTGGCTTGGCCAGCAGGTAGCAAGAGAGGGTGTGTACACAGGGCACTGGCATTTTTATCATCAGGGCATCTAACCTTACTCAGAATAGGTAAAGATCACCCAGTAAAACTGCTTGCTGCCACCACTGCTGTGCATACACTTGTACTTCTCCCATTGCTATCCATCAAGATACTGAGGATAGCACCGCAGTGAAAGATTTCCCCCCAAAAGGTAATGCAAACAGACTGAAAATGTTAGTGGCCTCTTTTATAAAGATGCTGAGCAGTCATTTCCACTAATTTCAACATATACTATAGCCAAGACTGGTGGCACCCCATCTTCCTAAGATTGCCCAGCATTTCTCTCAATAAGACCCTGTTTTTAGCTACATACAATTTTGCCAAACTTTAACTGTTTGGGCTGAAATTTTCCATGCTGGATGTCTGCCTCTGGCTGAATTGAACTGTTTTGGAAAATTTAATCTACAATGGGAGAGCCTGTGAAACCTTAATCCCCCTTGCGCATGTGCATTATGACTGTGGTAACAATCAAAATAATAAGTAAACTCCGCCCTTTCTTTCAGTGATCTTTGCAGTTTATATATAGCATCTGATTGATGTCCATAAGCCCACTGTGAGGGAGATAAGTAGTACTGTCCCCAGTTCATACTGGGGAAATTGAGTTAAAGATGTCACTAAAGGCATCAGGGTCTGTCTGCGCTTTTATTACAATGAATTCCTGAATCCCAGATTTTTTTTTCAGACAATTGGAACATGCTGATCTCCCACTGCTCATAACCTTCGACATCTGTTTCATGTGAGATAGCATTTTCTGGCAAAGGGCTGACAAAGTCGTTGGGCCAGAACCTGATCTCATTTACACTAGATGAAATCTGGAGTTGACACTGATGGAATTACCCCAAATTTGTACCAATTTTGGCCCATTTAAACAAAATATTTTTCATGTCTAAAACACCTGGAACTTTTTTTTGTAACTACATAGCTGTTTTACAGCTTGTTGAGCATTAACATATTCTGCTTCATTCAGTCCTACACAGAATGCAACTCACAGAGAGAGTGATAAGTGACTATCTAAAAGCTAAGTTGTAAATCATATGGAACCAAGGCATGATAATGAATGTACAGCAGAAGAATAAGATGAACTGCTATGCTGCCTGTTTTAAATTATCCTGTGCTCTGCTCTCAAGGGAAACAAGTGAGCTTGAAGGCAGGGCCGGTCCTAACCAACTGGCAGTCCCTGGCGACCGCTAGGCAAAATTTTTTAAGCAAAAGGCCAAAATGCGGTCACGGCCCCTTTAATTGCCACGTGTCCCTAACAGCTTCCATTGGGCTCTGTCGGTGGCCCCTTGAAAATGGCGGACTGCCCAGCTCACCTGCCCCTAACACTGGCTCTGCCTGAATTCACTGGCTCAAACTCACCTTCAAAGGCTTGGTTGAGGACTCCACTAGACATGCTCTCCTCAAGCTGGGGAGTGAAGAACATAGGAGAGTTACTCAGTTCTTGCAGCTGGTCCTGAATACAACAGAATGTTGGCCTGTGGAGAGGTTCTTGGGCCCAGCATCTTGTCATTAAGTCCCAGCTAGAAAAAATAAAAGACGTAGTAAAAGAATTCATGCTAATGTAATTATTGCCACCATTATAATGAATATATGCGAGCCTATAATTAAATCCTCACCACCAACAACTTTGAGGGCCAGGTTCTCAGCTGATGTAAACTGGCTTCTCTCCATTGACTTAAATGACTCTGTTAACGTGCAACCTTAGCTGTAGGTCATAAGGTTCATTGATGGACACACAGAAGAGTTAACATAGCTTTTTGTAAAGGGAAATCATGTCTCACTAATCTGTTAGAATTCTCTAATGGTGTGAACAAATATGTGAACAAGGTCCAGTGAATATAGTGGCCTGGGACTTTCAGAAAGACTTTGACAAGGTCCCTCACCAAAGGTTTATAAGCAAAGTAAAGAATAATGGGGTGAGAGGAAGTTCTTTCATGGATCAGTAACTGGTTAAAAGATAGGAAACAAAGGGTAGAATAATTGCCCAGTTTTCACAGTGAAGAGAGGTACATAATGGGGTTCCCCCAAAGACCTGTACTGAGACCTTTGCTGCTCAATATATTAATAAATGAGCTGGAAAAGGGGGTAAACAGTGAAGTGGCAAAATTTGCAGATGATGAAAAATTACTCAAGGTAGTTAATATCTCTGTCTGTTTTTATTTAATCAAACTTTTGAATGGGGAGGAATTCCCAGTATTGCTCAATGTTACAAGCACAACTGCTTAGTTACACACAGAGTCAAAAATGTTTCTTCATCCAACTCAGCAGCAGGACTTTCCTAATAGTGAGGAGTTAGGTGTGGAAACTGTGGCCTCATTTATGTTCAATTCATCTATAAGGGGAGCTTTGCTAGTACAGAACACCTGTGTGTAGACAAGACCCTTTCGGGGTATGCACTGATTTAGTTCAATTGTTCAAACCTTGGTTTGCCTTTGTCTTCACTTAGAGATTCACACTACTATAGCTATGCCAACAGGTGATCATCAACTGCTATATCAGGGCGCAGAGCGTAGATAAAGTCAATATTTACTGAAGCGTAAGTGCTTGTAGATCACAGGATTCTGTGTTCCAACTCACAGCCAGACGTTAACACACTACTCCTACAGGGAAAGTGGATTATTATCTTCCTGTTTTGAAAAACAGGTTGGGGAGGGGGGAAGATATTCATATCCTCTTCAATACTAACAGAGTTCCCGCCACTTTAAGGCCTTTTATGTCCTAAGGCTTCATGTGAGTTCTACTTGCCACTGCAGTGAAAGCCTACCACAAATTCCTAAACACTTCTTAATTGAAGTAGCCTGGCCTTTGAACCCTCTTCCTATCGATGACGGTTTGTTTTGTAAAATGACAGTGAGCGAGCTGAAAATGCAGAGGAGACGATTAATGGTTGGTGCATAAAGAGAAAAGCAGAAATGCAAAGAATCTGGGCATTCCATTAATAACTGAGCAAAGCAACAACAAGCAATTTACTTTACTGACAGACTCGACGTGCAGGTGCTGAGTGGTTGGCCAATGAGATAAAAGAAGGTAGAGGACTCAAAGGACTAATTCAGACTCCTAGTTTTAAAATGTAAGCTTATTGGTCTTAGGCCCTGATCCTACAAGTTACAACACATGAACAAACCCCATCACCTCATGTGCAGCCCCCAGATATCTGGTTCTCTGCAGGGGACTACCTCACATTGGTACTTACGGGAGTGGAGCCTCAGAAGAGTTCCTTCCGCTACAATAAATTTTCCTCGGTCCTTTTGAAAGCCTACTTAATTTTTATCAAGGCAACATAGAGCTTCAAATAGCTTCCCACTACAGATGAATTTCATGCCATGTGTTTGCTAAATACTAACCAGCAACAGTCCATGAAACTCATTCTGCTACTCCGTAACACCCCTGCCATAGAGGGAGGGCTCACCAACTCTCCCCAAGCTGCTTCAGAGAAGCAAATGTTTGAGGGATTTTTATGCCAGCAGGGATCTTCAATGTCGACTGGTCTCTCCTTCCATTTTTGGACTGAGTGCCAAATGCCCTGCTGTGACACTTAGATGACATTGTAACTTTGAATACAAGTCCTTCACAGTGAGTTTAAAGGGTGTAATGGATTTGATCCATCTGCCTCAAGTGACAGGCATACTGCGCTACTCTGCACATCAGCCTTGTTTAAAAACTGTATTTGAATTTAGTGCTTAAGACAGCCCTACAAAATGCAGTTTTTACCCACACAATAGTTACAGAACAATCAGAAGAGTAAATTGCCCTCTTCCCACTTTGCCCCAACTTTCACTGTGGGTGGCATTTCTAGGGCGAGGGGGTTGCCCAGTCTTCATACATATTCTATCTATGACTTGTTTTCTGAAATTGCCAAATGTGATTGTTGCACACTAGAAACTAGACGGACCAACAGTTTCTTAAAATAATCATGATTTCTAACAACTATTGAACTGGCTTCTAGTCAAACTTGAGGCCTATGTAAGTGAACAGCTGCAGAGGCCATTACCCATCCTTATCATTACATACATCATATGTGTAAGTGCGTGGATGTGATATATTCTGCTAGTGACAACAGAATATAGATAGAGAAAACCCTACACTCGAATGATTGAATTTAAGGGACAGAAGAACTCTCTGAAATCATCACTGAATTCACATATTGTCAGTATTTCTACAAGATTCATCCCAATGCAGAATGGCCAAGTTACCTCTGGCTTCCAGCATGTACAACAGCAGATACTCACCATTTAATTGTAGGGCTGAGGTTTCAGCCACAACCAAAGTTCCACACTCCCAAAGGGGGCTATTGGATGAGTAGCTAGCCAGATGGACAGGACCGGATTTCCAATTAGGCACAGTAGGCATGTGCCTCGGGGCTAAGGCTGCTAAGTATGCAATTCTCTAGCCAAACTGGGCTATTTTTAGCTGTCAGTTGCCGGGGATTTTAGCAGTTGTGAGTTGTGGTATTTGGGGCTATTTTGCTGCCCTCCTGCCACCATTTTGCTGTCCACACTGCTTGTAAGTTCTTGAGAGAGAGAGACTCCTGATCTGTTCTGCCCCCTGTAGAGACTCCTCACATGCTGCTTGTCTCATGTGGTGCCCACACCCCTTTGGTGGCATTTGCAGAATGTGTGGAATTCTTGTCTGAGGGAGGCAGATTTTTTTATCTGTAGAAAATATGCTGCAGTTCCACCTTGTGCCCACCAGAGGACACTGTGGCACCGAAACAGCCTGAACTGGCTGAGACTGACTGGTCTGGTGGGTAACAGCAACAGCACAAAGGCAGATGGCAGGTGCATTTTTTTCCTCGAATGAAAAGTCACAGCAGCCTTCTTGGAGCCAGGTTAAGAGGGCAGAGCAGGCCACACTGGGCTGCTGGGGGCTCACAGGGTCACAGGGGAATGTGGGGCACATACAGGGCCCCATGGGGAAGGAGGAAGCACTAAAGATGCTGTTTATTGGGGTGTGTAAGGTAAATGCAGCTTTTTTATCTACAAAGAAAGAGAACACACTGAACTCTGCAGGGGAAAGCTACTGAGCGTGCAAAAGGCGCCGTGCAAAGTAGTGGGAAGGTGGATTGGTGGCCCTCTGTGTCTTATTAATGTTCATAAATCTATTCAAATAAAGTTTACTTACAGATCATCAGGACAATTTTTTGGCAACTCCAGCCTCCCTCCTGATCGCACATGATGTAAAACATCAAGGTTGGAATAACCTGGATACGGCTGATGACCCAAGGTTAACGTTTCCCAAACCAAGACTCCAAAAGCCCTGAAGAAGGCAAAGGGAAAATTTTAATAAGATTCATGGCTGCTGAAAATAGATAATTATGTCTACTGTCAGTTAGCCTAATTTTCTCTAACTTCCAAACAAGGTTCCACTAGAAAAATCAGGGTTAAGGAGTTTTAATTTCATATGAATCAGTTTGCACATTCTAAAGCGAGTCTCTAAAGCTGCTAGAAAAACTAGTGGAATTAACATATTATGCCACCTATCCTTCAGGCACATTGGGACCACGCTCAACTTGTACAGATACCATGTAACATACAGTCAACTATATATTTAAGAAAGTTTGTGCATCTGTCTGTCTGCCCATCTGTGAGTCTATCTGTTCAAGAACTCCTGTCTTTTTTCATTGTATCCCTGTTATATAATGGTCGTGCCAGTTTGCTTTCAGAATATGATCTGAAGAAGTGGATCTGCCTCACAAAAGTTTATCACCTAATAAACTATCTTGTTAGTCTTTAAAGTGCTACATGACCGTTTTTTTTTTTTTTTGTTTTTTTTGTTTTACCAAGATCAGACTAACACAGCTACTTCTGTGACTATTCCTCCTAAACAGTAAAAGCTAGAGCCACCAAATTTGGTATGCCACTTCCTCGTCTCATAAAGCAAGGTTGGTTGTGCCAGGACAATGCATGGAATACAATTGTTTCTTATTAAACAGAAAGGGAGGGCTGTGACAGTATGGACAGTTACATTCCAGAATGACCAAAGGGGGAGCAGCAAGCAAGCATGCCACTGATAGCCCAGGGGAGTCACGGAGAGCTGCCAGCCAGTCAGCACAGCCCCTGCCACCCTGTCCTGGCCCAGAGCAGCAGCTGCTTGCCAGCCAGTGTGGGTCCTCTTACAGCCTGCCCTGGGACCTGCTGGCCAGGCAATACAGCCCTCATACCCTCCCCGCAGGCTGGCCCCAGGAGCAATGCCACCAGCCACCCATCCCCTCTCCTGACTCCTGCACCTCTCC